TCCGGCTCTGGTTCAGACCATGGTACGGAGCGAGGGGGACTGGGATGCCGTCTCCTCCTTCTGCGAAGCAGTCATGCTAGCTAAGGAGGAGGCGGAGCGCGTGAGGGAACGAACCTCCTCACGACCCGGCCGTCGCGAGAGACACTCCGGGCGTCGGGGATCGCGAGACGATCTCCGGCCACCGTAAGCACGGGCCTGCGGACGGCGAGCACGGGTGACTCGCCGCCCGACCAGAACCAGGCCCGAGCGTACGGCGCGTCGCGTTCCGCGCGCGCCTCAAGGAGCCATCAGACCACCACAGATGGGGCCTAACAGGGCTGATGCCGATACGGAGCCGCGGAAGACTTAACGGGTTGCCGGGGCTCCGGCTCGAAGTGCAGGAGTAGGAACGGGGTGGTTTTTAGTCAGTAAGAGTCTGACACTCCCTCCCGCCTCACCCGGGCGGGAGAAGTCATTGGATGATTTTCCCCCCTCAAAAAAAAAGCTGTGCCCGCGACTTCGTCCGCGTGGAATAGTTATTCACTGCTTCTACTCCGTAGGTGATAGCGTGATATATGTAGCCTATATGTTGACCCAATCCCTTAGTTAGTAAGTAGTATTCATGTAAAATTTGATGAAAATCCATGCTGTACTTTTAGAGTTTAGCCCGGACATACATACAGACAAAAAATTCCAAAAACCATATATATATGTTTAACTTCGATATCGATTGTGAATCACGCCTCAACCATTCTTTAAAAAAAATATTCAATGTTCACTTTTGACTTTTCTTTTTATTATATGTATATACACTGAAACCTGGTTATTAAGTGAGACATCAAGGGACCTGCAATGTCGTTTCACTTATAGAGGTATTCCACTTACCCAGTGTCTCAGATATACAGGTATAAATAAATATCTGTCTCATTTACGAACGTTTCATTAATAGAGGTGGACTTGGAATTACGTGTGGAATTTGTGGGTAGAATAAGAGTGAGTAAACAAACAATGTTATCTCAGTTACAGAGGTTTATGCATAAAATATTAACTCGCTGTCTCAGTTATAGAGGTAACTATGATGATAAATCGAAAGAACAAATCCCAGATTTAGAGGTTTACCTCGTCCCACTAACAGAGGTAATTCAGTGCTAAAGTGTTGGGACCTCAGCATGAATTCCAGTTATGGAGGTTTCTCACTTATCCAGGTCCCACTTAACCAAGTTTCACTGTAGATGTTGAAATTCTGTCTCTTATATTCATTTTTTTTTATTACTACAATCTATCGCCTTCTTTGGGACATTCGGCAGTATATTGGATGTTACTTTAGTTAGCGTTTTCGGTATGGGATCTGTGTCACATCCTCTTCATAAATACAGTGTTTTACTGTGGTTGGATCACATCTTGTGGTATTCTACGCTTTAGCCTACGCACTGCCTTGTGTTCGTCCATTAGTGACAGTGCCAGAATGTTTGGGTGACGAGATAGCGATCCTTATATGACCTTGTGTTGTTCAATTACTTGTTTTACTGTTGGTACTCGTAGGTCGTGGTGTAACAGTTCATTGGGTACGAACCAGAGGGCGTTGGCCATCAGTCGGAGTGATTTATTTTGGAACCTCTGTATTTGAGTGGGATGCGGTACCCCACAGTTGTATCCCGTACGTCCAGATAGGCTTCAATATAGCCTTATATAATAGTATCTTATTCTCTAAGGAGAGTTGAGACTTGCGACCAATATAAATATAAAAACAAAAACTAATCAAGTCACCTGTGGCTGGTATCCGTTCTCGTCAGCTACATACTGGAACTGGATTTGTTCTCCCTCGGGTGACTTCCAGCTAGCTTGGCCCTGAGCTACTTGCGCTGAGGTCTCCTGTAAACACAATATAATAGGGATGATGATGGCGCATCAAAATCTATTTTTTTAGACGTAGTCGTCATCGTAGACCGCATCATTGCTTACCACCAGGCGAGATAGAGGTCAAACGTCAGTCCCAACTAATATAAATAAAAAGGTAAAACGACACCCAGGGCAAGACGACAAGTAGGATTTTTTTAAGGGGGAAAATTCATCGAATGATTGGTCCCGCCTGGATGCAGCGGGAGGGAGTGTCAGACTCTTACTGACTAAAAACTACCCCGTTCCTTCTCCTGCACTTCGAGCCGGAGCCCCGGTAACCCGTTAGGTTCTCCGCGACTCCGCGCGGTCGGGCGGCGAGCCACCCATGCTCGCCGTCCGTAGGCCCGCGCTTACGATGGCCGGAGATCTTTCCGCGATCCCCGACGCCCGGAGTGAATTAAAAGTACTTACAGCATCGATCTGCTTCAGTGACCCAGCCTCATTAGCCGCGATACCGTTTTCAGTTTCATATGCCCACTGGTACTGACCCTCCACGCCGACGTCCAGCTCCTGCTTTAAGATCTGGGCACTCTTCTCGTCCTTGGGTAAGATGTGGGATACATCCGCAGCAGCCAGAGCCACGCACACAGATAGGATTAGGAATTTCTGTGAAAAAAAAAAACATATTTTAGGTTAAAACCATTCTACTATCTATCTTATAGATCGTAGCTTGATGTCTATCAGCCTTTTTTTGGGACAAACCCGCTACAGCTTCCCAAAACCGCTTCAACTCCTGCAAGCCAGGATGTACAATAGATACAACCATGCAAACACCGGAACACTAAAGTCCGGCGCGTCCCAGGGACATGAATAACTGTCTTGGGTCCCGCAACGAAGTGAATCAGAAGATATTATTATAAGAGGAGAAAAAACGAGTTTCCGCTTCCTTCGGTGAATGGGGGCAGGGAAATGAATTAAGCCTGAAGGCACAAAAGACAGTCTGTGCAACTGGGTGAAGTCCAGTCGCCAAGCACCACGGAATTTTGACTAAAACCATTATACTAGGTCCTCCAGTTTCATGTATGTCGTGGTGGCCCGGTGGGTTAAGACTTCTCCCGCTTCTCATACATGAGGGTGCGGGTTCGAAACCTACCAACGGCAAGTACCAATGTGACTTTTTTCGAGTTATACGTACTTTCTAAGATTATTCGGACGCCACTGACAAACGGTGAAGGAAAACATCGTGAGGACCTGGGCTTATAATTTCTAATTATAAGTTTCAACCCGCATTGAGCAAGAGTGGTGATTAATAGTGCTCAAACCTTCTCCGTTTAAGAAGAGGTGAGAGGAAAAGGCGGCTCAGCAGTGGGCATTTATAGGCTGTTGATGATGTTGACAATCAATAAGTTTTTAGTGATAGAACGAAGTATAAACGAGTGTAGATCAGCTCTTATAGATCGTAGTCTGATAAATAGGATATCCAACACAAAAATAATTATGCAAATTTGACTAGTACATACATAACTTCACGCCTGTCTCCCATGGGGGTAGGCAGAGACTATGGAACGCCAATTCATACGATTCCTACACACCTCTTTCGCTTCATCAACAGTCCCTTTTCACGCATGCTCGTCGGTTAAGGGTACTTTTAATTTGGTTATTCTTTAATGACTATTCAACTATGTTTCTTAAAATAATATAAGTAGGATATAGATTTCTGTGCACACATTATGAAACTTCCACTATTGCTAAAGTTGGAATATTTCTCATTTAAATAAAAAATATATAAAATAGTATGTTATGTGCATACGACTAAAAAGCTTAGCAAATAAATTACAAATAAATCGTATGTTTATAATACGAATTAATATTCAAATAATCAACACATTAAAATCATGTTAAAATTAGGTAAATACGTTTATTTTATTTGCTTAAATAATAATCAATTTCGAACTGAGTCCTTTAATGAATAGGGATGATGACGGTATGAAAATTAGAAATATAATTAGTCCGACAGTAAGGTAAAGAAAAATTTTAGACACAAAAATTGGTAAATCATACAATTTAATAAATTTAAATCTAGTATAAAACAAAGTCGCTATCCGCCGTCTGTCTGTCCCTATGTATGCTTAGATCTTTACAACTACGCAATGGATTTTGATGCGGTTTTTTAATAGATAGAGTGATTCTTAAGGAAGGTTTATATGTATAATACGTGCAATGTGCATATTGCACCCGTGCGAAGCTGGGGCGGGTCGCTAGTATAGTATAAAACAAAGTCGCTATCCGCCGTCTGTCTCTCCCTATGTATGCTTAGATCTTTAAAACTACGCAACGGATTTTGACGATGTGTTTTTTTTAATAGATAGAACGTGTTCGGGGTTGGGGTGAGTTCAAGATAAACTCTAGGATGTAGAATGAAAGATATATTTCGATACTAATGAGATAACTACTAAGTCTAATGAGGTGAATGAGATGAGATTGAGTAGCGTCCGTATTCACAATCGTACTGAACGTACTGAGCGTTTTTACCTAAGTAATACATAATATATTCATGACATATTGCGGTGTGTCGCAATTACGGTGACATGATTAGTATACTTAGCATATTACAATTATTTGTTCGGTGATTGACCCGAACAGAACGAAAGGGCAGTTTGTACGTATAGGTAATACATGCGTATTGCACCCGTGCTAAGCCGGGGCGCGTCGCTAATACAAATAAATCCTTATTAATTCCTTATTAATATTATAAATCGGAAAGTGAGTTTGTTTGTTTGTTCCGCTATCACACCATAACTACTAAACCGATTGCTTTGAATTTTTGCAGATGTATAGTTAGAAGTCCGGATTAAATAATATGGTACTTTTTATCCCGGAAAATTTTGATATTCCCGAGGGAAAACAAAAGTATTGATATAGATGGCGCTGTGTGTATTGGTATATGTCACATTGGCTTTTTATCCTTTTGTGACGCGAGCGAAGCCGCGGGTAAAAGCTAGTAAAAGATAAACGGCAAAAACTGCTGAACACATTTTGATGCAGAATTTACTATTACCTAGTTAGCGATTTTTGTGAATCTCTCTCAGCGATTGGCTTAAACACTGCTTAACATATTTTGATATAAAATGATTAGGAGAAATCACAACTTAAAATTGGTTTTATAAAATATTTTTTTTTGTGCTGTCAGTCTTTTGGGCACCCTACCTCTTGATAGCGATAAGGAAACTTTTTGTTTGATGCCTTATTATATATAGCATTTTTGTTTTTTAAGGTGTAAATATTTTAGTTTATAGTCTATACTAATATTATGAAGAGGAAAGATTTGTACCTATTTTTGTATGTTTGTAATGAATAGGATCAAAAAGTACTGAGCCGATTTAAAAAATTCTTTCACCAATAGAATGCTACATTCTTCCAATTTGACATAGGCTACATTTCATTTTGAAAAAAATTATGTATCCTTGTTAAAATTTGAACAATGTAACCGAAGGTGTAGAAAACTGAGTCTTAAAATGTCTTTCGTCGAATGCGCTGCCGAAACTATTAGCGATAGAACAAAATAATGTACAACAATATTGAAGAACATCATAATGTCTACAAAAACCTCCGCGGTAGCATATGTCCAACTATTGTAGTTAAGTCACTACAACAAACAAATTTGCAAAAATAAATAATTATGTACCCTGTGCGAAGCCGGGACGGGCTGCTAGTTATTTATATTTTAAGTTGTTTATACTTTGATTTAGTAATAGTTAATAATGTTTTTATTTAAATTTTTATTGAAATAAATAGTTTATTTTGATATTATGTATATTCAGTAGTAGATAGAGTGATTTTTGTTAATGTTTCGTAGCGACTAACTCAAAAACTACTGCACATTTTTCGATGCACTTTTCACTGTAGATAGAACGATTGTTTAGGAAAGTTTTGGTGATTCATAGGGGAGATATTTTAATAAAATGATATTAAAACTCACCATGGTGTTAGCACTAGTGAACAAACCGAGTGTTAGCAAGTGACTGTTCAGTGTATGCGCGCGCCACTATATAAGTATACTTTGCTGAGCTTCGCAAGGTCAGAATTGGGTATGATGTTATTGTCTATCCTATTTTACTGCCTCGTTGACCAAATGGTCGCAAGTGCGACTGCCGGGCAAGGGGTCTCGGGCAAAGTATTACTGGGTTTTTAAAAATCTCAGTAGTAGCACAGAGTCTGGAAATGTGCCCGGTATATGGCAATAGGATCACCCCTATTACATGGGACTCATAACATGAATAGTGAAAAGTGGGTGTTACATTGTACAGTGCATTAAACTGTCAAACACCAAGCGGTCACCGGTGACCGCAACCTATTGTTCTATAATTGTGTCTACAAAACGGGTACTCGACGAGTTAAGTGCCGAAATGTGCATCTCTGCCTACCCCTTCGGGGATAAAAAGGCGTGATGTTATGTTGTCTATCCTAACATACTAGTTGAGAGGGAAAATCATCAATGTCTCTTCGCGCCTGGGTGAGACAAGAGGGAAGACTCAGACACAACACTAGACCCTTTGCCCGGCAGTGACATTTGCGACCACTTGGCCATCGAGGCAGTCTTAGTATAATATTAGCAAGGATCAATAATTATTAAGGATAAATTATTATGTTTTCGACTTACTCACGTAACTATTTGACGAGGAACTCGACTAGTTCCAAGCCATGCTAGAGGCTCATATTCATGAGCAGCATTCCTCGTCAAATAATTACGTGAGTAAGCCGAAAACATAATAATTTATTTAGTATATCTCACGAAAGTTATAATACAAATAATTAAAAATACTCAAAAAATAAAAAATTGTTATTTTCCAAACGAATATTAAACGATACAAAATACAAAATAATATGGGTCAATGGTCACCAATCAATATCCGAACCTTGGCCACTGTTGCTTAACCATAAAGCTTATTTTGAACGTACATATGACATCATTTCACTCGCTCATCAAGTTATTAATCATTCGACACTGTCCTTTCTAGGGATGTCGGTTAAAGAGATATTAAGTATTACAATTTGGCTACAACTAGTATAAAATTAACGCCTTTTGTGCAGTGGTTCGGATCAGTTTCCAAGTAAATTATCTAAAATCGCTGGTTACTTACGTGAATATGTTGAGACAAGCTCTACTAGTTTCGAACCACAGAGGGGTTCTTCCTCATAAGCAGTGTGATAGTGATCTGCGACCTCACGATAGTTATTATAAAAACACAGTTTCTAAGTAGGTAGTAGTAAGTAGTCAAACTCAATATTTTTTTAACCGACTTCATTAAGAAAGGTATTCTTAATTTGACCTCTATGTATGTTAGTGCGCAATTATCTCGCGATTGGCTGAACCGATTTTGATGCGATGTTCAGAAAAGAAGATATTTTTAGTATATTACCTAATTGACTGATAGAAAAATAATAGGTTGAAGTCGATGTTTTTAAACGTCTCTAGTTTATAAAGTAGTTATAGTGCCTATCTATGGCATTTTTTTTATCTTGTAACTTATTTGTTAGTTTTTCCAACTTCAAAAAAACAGAGGAGGTACTGTGTTGTACTATGTTCGGCTGATTGATTTTTTTTATTCCACGACGGAGGCAAATAATCACACGACCCACCTGATGGTAAGCGGTTACCGTGGCCTATGTACGCCTGCAACACTTGGGGCATTACATGCGTCTTGCTAACCCTTGAAAAACCTATTCACTCCCCTGTTGAAGAACCCCATGTTGTAGCCTATTGGGAAAACCACGGCAGGGTGTTCATTCTACAATCGGAGGGTCCGTGGTTCATTCATTACATCTCTAGTTTCTTACCAAACCTTACAAACAATAGGGTAGTAGACAGGGTATGAAAATTAAAAATCTAATTAGTCCGTCAGTTAGATAATAAAAAAATATTAGACACGTATTTTTTTATTTTGTCGTATAAGAAAACAATGCTTAGATAAAACGGAGTTAAGTTTAGGAGTGGGAGGTCGTTACGTGACGCTACCCTATAACATGTAGTAAATTGTGACGTCACACGATATTTCAAATCAATATATCGTCGAAAGTATGTAAGAAAAGAAAAAATACGTGTCTAATGTTTTAAAATGTCGCAGAGAACCTAACGGGTTACCGGGGCTCCGGCTTGAAGTGCAGGAGAAGGAACGGGGTGGTTTTTAGTCAGTAAGAATCTGACACCCCGCCTCACCAAAGCGGGAGCAGTCATTCGATGATTTTCCCCCTTTAAAGAAAAATGTTTTAAAATAATCTACAAGACGTCTGTTACCCTATTACTACTTAAAATGATAAAGTATCAACCCTACTCAGTCCAAGTATGTGAGCACAATACGTTGAACTTTCGCGATCGTCTGCCGACCCACTTTACTCGCGGAGTATAATAAAGCTGCAATGTATAAGGGCTTTCACTTACATGTTGTATGTCTCGCTATATATATATATATATATTTGATGCAATGTGTGTATGTATGTATGTATGTATGAATGTATGAAAGTAATTGGTTAATACTGTCTCGTTAGTCGAGCGTGACTGTCGAGCAAGGGGCTTCTTAATATGCATTTGTACCGACTAAACCCTTTGAGTACCGTCATTATAGACACTATTAAAGAACAATAGGTTGCGGTCACCGGTGTCCTCGCGGTGTTTGACAGTTTAAACGAATACGACGTCGCGGAGAACCTAAAGAGTTGCCGGGGCTCCGGCTCGACGTGTAGGAGTAGGAACGGGGTGGTTTTTAGTCAGTAAGAGTCTGACACTCCCTCCCACTCCACCCAGGCGGGAGCAGCCATCCGATGACTTTCCTAAAAGACGAACATATACTGACCAGATTGGCGATACCGACGAGCATGCATGAAAAGACTAATGACTGTTGATGAAGCGAAAGTGGTCCCCCCATGGGAGACAGGCATGAAGTCAGTATGTATTACCAAGATCCATTTTACTTGGGGACGAAAACGAAATAGACTTCACGATGTATAGTTGAATAAACATAAAGTTCAAACAACTAATTATTGAATATAACAAGACGATTCGTTTTAAAGGTCGTCTGTCTAATAAAACTGGTTTTGTTTACATTACGTGGGACTGTTGAAGGGCCTGTGCTTAGATGAGGTTTTAGCTTACATAATAATGTCGCGAAGAACCCAACTGGTTACCGGGGCTCCGGCTCGACGTGCAGGAGAAGGAACGGGGTGGTTTTTAGTCAGTAAGAGTGACACTCCCTCTCGAGACGTTATTAGATGATTTTCCCCCCTTAAAAAAAAAAGCTTACATAATAATTGTAGACTAGCTTCTGCCCGCGGCTTCACACGCGTTCCCGTCGGATAAAAAGTAGCCTATGTGTTATTCTAGACCATAATCTACCCTTGTTCCAAGCCATAATCCAAATATTTTGACAGTTGTTGGAAGACTCATGATTTTGACACTTTTTTTTTGAGGAGTGAACATCATCTAATTACTTCTCCCGCCTTGGGTTAGGCGAGTGGGAGTATCAGACTCTTACTGACTTAAACTGTCAAACACCAAGCGGTCACCGGTGACCGCAACCTATTGTTCCATAATTGTGTCTACAAAACCGGTACTCGACGAGTTAAAACCAGCGCGTTCCTACTCCTGCTCTTAGAGCCGGAGCCCCGGCAATCCAATATACGGAGCAGCGGATGGCTTCCGCGGCTCCGTATCGGGCATCAGCCTATCTGGGCCCCAACTGTGGTCCGGTGGCTCATTGAGGCGCGCACGGGTCTGGTCCTGATCGGGCAGCAAGCTGCTGCTCGTCGTCCGCAGACCCGATGATTTTGAACCTGGAAATCGTGTACAAGACCTTGTGATCCACAACTTAATCAATCTATGTATCATTTTCTGCTCACTAAGAAAGAATGGCAGTCAATTAAAATATAACTATACATACTTTTATTTTATTTCTTTTTCATTAAAAAAAAAAATGTTTGCTCACACTAGGATTTTCTCCTGTGTCGTGGGTGCGTTTACAATCATTCAAGTTCACATACACATGACACCCAGACCCGAAACAACAATTTGTGGATCACACAAAGTGTTGTTCCGTGCGGGAATCGAACTCGCGACATGTTGCACAGCAGCCGGTTGCCCGGCCACCGCACCAACCGTGCAGTCATAAACAAGTATATCATGTACCGTCACCAAACACCTTTTCTTACTATACCTTTTCTCTAACGCGACCTTGGCATTTATAACAATTTCCAATAAACTCTATGACTATTCAAAAGAGAATTAATAAATAATACATACGTACAAAATCATTAATCATTCGGACAGCCCATATTGACAATCATTACGAAATAGTTGATTCACACGTTTTTGCGATGCACAGATGGAGCCACGGTCGCTTTATGGTGTACCTCTTTTGTAATTGGTAATGACTTTATAAGAGGACGAGTTTTTGTTAACTAACTACACCGAGTGAGGACCGATATTATTAAACTGTTTTTACTCTAAAGTTGTTTGTTCTTCTCTTGTTCTTGTTTGTCGACTGCCTCGTTGGCCGAGTAGTCGCAAGTGCGACTGCCAGGCAAGGGGTCTCGGGTTCGATTCCCGGGTCGGGCAAAGAATTACTGGGTTTTTAAAAAAAATATCAGTAGTAGCACGGATTCTGGAGTTGTACCCGGCGTATGGCAATAGGCTTACCCCCTATTACATGGGACTTACTACGTAAATAGTGAAAAGTGGGTGTTACATTGTACAGTGGCATTAAGTGCCGCAATGTGCACTTCTGCCTACCCCTTTAAGTATAAAAGGCGTGATGATATGTTATGTCTTGCTATTAAAGTCGATTTTTGACATTAGTTGTATAGAGTTTTTGTCAAAACATTTTAATCGATTGAGTTTTTTGGATTGGAACTACACATTTGACAGAGACCGTGCAGCAGCGCTCTCTGATAAACCTGAACCTTGTGTACTGCGACCTCCAATCCGCCTGCCTGCGGAGATTATGACAAACCTTCTTATGTAGAGGAGACTCATAGTGCAGTAATGGCCTAA